GTGTGTGTGTGTGTGTGTGTGTGTGTGTGTGTGTGTGTGTGTGTGTGCGTGTGTGTGTCTTCTTTGTGCTCATACAGCAGCGGAGGAAAGGGAAGCACCGTGGCAGTAACCTCAGTGTATGTACCCTGTCTTCTGTCTTCTCTCCCTTTTTTCTTTAATCCAGTCCCTGTCATCATCAGCCATGTTTTGAATTTTTTTTTCCTGTCCCATATTGTGTCTCCATGTTCTGTCTGTCATTTGCAGGGAAAATCTTCCTCAAAGGGAGAATCAGATCTTTAGAAATGAGGTTATGTGTAAAGGTTGTGAAAACTTAATATCTTACCTGTTTTATTCAGCTCTTTGAACAACCTCAGTTTGGAGAAATAGAGTTTACCATGTTTTTTGGACTATAAGGCGCACTTAAAATCCTTCAATTTTCTCAAAAATCAACAGTGAGCCTTATAATCAGGTTTATGGTTGTGCTTACTGACTTCAAACCTATTGTATGTGGTTCTTGTGAATGAGTTGAATAAAGTTTGACTTATATGACTGTTTTGTTTCGCTTAATGCGCCTTATAGTCCAAAAAATACGGTATATCGGATCAGAATGATGAGCTCATGGCTGGTTTGAGAGAAACCAAGACCAAAGAGGATTGCTGTCCTAAAGCCAGTATTTCACTGGGTTGCCACGGCTGGCAACTATTTGAATGACGTTTGTGAAGGAACCTCCAAAATGTCTCGAAACATTTGCAGGGGTTTTCATTTGCCTCAGTTTAGTCACAGAGTTGTGCAGTCCTTTTGCTTGTGTTTTGAACATGTTCAAAAAATATGTGTGGCAACTTTTCTCTCAAAATAGTCACAGATTCAACATGTGGGCATCTCAACCCCATCTCGAACCTTTCCGTGTTTCATCGCAGGCGTCTGCAATTCATCTTCAGGGTGCTAGAGTCATGTTACGACAAATGCACAAGACCTCTTGTTTGACAGAAAATACAAATAATCTAATAGTGAGAAAAGTGAATTATTCAGGAATGTAGGGGGAGCTGGATAAGAAGTGGATGGAGGTTGGCAAAAAAATAATGTGCACAGCATAAACAGCTGCGCCTTGTACACACACACACACACACACACATAAGGTTTTGATTTTCAGAACATGGCCGTGCAAAGTGTGGCTGTACAACTTGCTGCTCACAAACTCAGAATTCAGTGAGACTGCAGCTAAAAATTAGCCATTTTTTCTTGCAGTTTGTTTTCCATTCAACCTTTACGTAGACAGATTAATCACATGGAGCCTGAGGGACTCGTTTACAAGTGAGTCTTGTTTAGACAGACAAAAAAGTAATGAAAGTGACAACACGTAGGATTTAGAGGCAAAAAACCAATCCTAACAGACTCTCAATCCATGGCCGACGACAGATAGCCTGAAATGGAATAAAACACCCCGCACATAATGACGCAGACATTCTGCATGGGGAGGGGAGGTGACAAGAACGGTGAGCATGTCCACAGTGGCACTATAGGAGTTCTGATAAGAATGGTATAATCACTCAGTTCCCTCTGGTGAGATCCTTAAACATTCTCGAGGGGTGCCGAGGTCGATCAAGGACCATGCCAGAGAGAATCCAAGAATCCTGAAATAATGACACAATGTTTATTCAGCCGGTCCCTCGGATTGGTTTGCAGACTTACTCGGTGGGAGAGGGGAGTGGGGGCAGAGCGTCGATTTACAGGGCCTCCAGGCAAATTGAGATAAGGTGGCCTGTCAAGGCCAGCCAGGGAGTCAAATTCAGATAAACAACATTTGTTTTGGGGACAGGCAGAACTTGTCTGCCTTGAGTCTTTGCTGGTCCTCACAGATCCCAAAACATTCAAATTAAGTGAACACACCACTGGTCTGTACCTGAGAGTATTCCCTGAGATCTGATCCATCCTGCCAGTGAATCCTTTCGCAAAGCAATTGAGTCTGGATGCTGGAGGCACGGAGCAAACCATCACGTAAGGCAGGCAGCTTGACCAGGGCCAAATGTACTGCCGACAACTTCCTTGTTTGTTGATAAACCAGGAACCAGCCGATTCCGAAAAGCAGGCAACCTGTTATCATAAATCCAATGATATATGCGTCTTCAACATCCCCGATGGACAGCAGAGATAGGCACATC